TTTTAAAATTATCAAAGCACATACCCTTGACCCAACATTTTCACTTCTAAGTATCCATCATGTAAATACAGTTGCACACATGCAAAATGACTTTTGTGCAAATATATTCTTTATAGCATTGTTTATATTAACAAAACATTAGAAAGAACTGAAATGTCCTTCAACAGGAAATTAGGTTAAAAAGTTATTCAATTTAAATATGTACTAATATGGAAAAATCTTGTAGATATACTATTTTAAGTTTAAAAATGTGTTAAACAAGATATATACTATATAGATACAGGTAAATAGTATTGCATATGTTGATAAATGTACAGACCGTATCTGGAAGAATACAAAGAAATGTGACCAGGTGACAAAGAGGAAAGGGACAGAAAATTTATTTTGACTTTGTCAGTGCCTTCCAGTCAGGGAAGCAAACAAGCAATTGAACAAAGTGAGGCTTAGTAAATCGAAGCAAGGAAGAAAAAAACACAATATGGCAGAACTGAGATGTCTTTAGTGAGATGTAAGAAAGGACTTACAGGGTTTGGTCAGTGTTGTATGATTTTTAGGGAGGCTCCAAGAAATGCAGATTTACTCTGACTGGAGGCTCTAAGGAAGTGGGTGTAACTCTATGACTGGGTATCTTAATAATTCTTATTTATAAGGCAAGAAGAACAGAGCAAGGTTAAAGCTCTGTGTGGCGAAGAAGCAGCAGCCGTAGAGAAATATCTGACCATTTTGTAGTCTAGAAAATGTTCTTGTTTGTGTTCAGATGTGATTACAGAATGGTCTTATTTTTGTCTTGATCCATCGCAGTCACGTGGCCTTGTCTGGTTTTGTGTTCTGTAAAATTGTTTGTATTCAACAGAAGCACAGCTAGGCCTGCTGGGAGTGCCACACCAGCTCCTGGCTCTCAGGGACTATTTCGCTCTTTCTCAATTGTATACCCATGTGTGCCTTTACAATTGTATACCATGAACTATCTTACCTATTTAAAATAATTTTTAAAAGACTCATGACTGAAGAAGGCCTTAAAAGTCACTGAGTTCTGAGACTACACCAACCACCACCACGTCCTTCCCCGTCTCACACCAAAAAGGGCTTTCTTGTAAACCCCCTACAAGTGCCTGTTCAGCATCTGCTTAAATGAATCAACCTTGTACTAACTGATCAGGCAGCTCATTCTACAACCAATATAGCTTTAATATTTTGTTCAGGGAAAAGGGAACAACGCATTTGGTTATAATATCTTAATTGTTTTCACCCCAGCACATTTGACCACTTCAAATGCATCTTCTCCTATGGTAACTAGTGGAGCAGAATAATTATCTTTCTAATTTTATATAAAATTTCCTATTAATACTCTCCAAATGGCAGTTGTCTTTTTTTGTGCCAGTGTTCCAACACAGTTTTGCATCTTTTGTTATCATTACATTTGCAGAGATTCTTATCTGTTGCTGCTGACAAACCCATTTGTTTTGTACTCAATTATATGCAATTAGTCTTTTCTTCATGAACAAAAGAACAGGTGTCTTTATCTATTCTATGCAAGATACCATGGTAAGGTTGGTTGGATGTAATAATGTCTACTGAACCAAACAATTCTGACAGATGCTCATAGTAATAAGATTTTTTTTTCCAAACAATTAAAAGCTTTTACTCCTGCCCACACAAAGTAGAGAAAGAAAGGGCATTTTCACATCTTAGAGGCTTATAATTTTCTATTTAAAAATGAGGAGAATTTAAATCCTTCTCTGGTGTTTTAAATCCCCACTCAGGAAATGTATAAATAAAAATTGTTTTCATTGGAAATTTTTCAATGAAAATAGTGGGATAAGGGAATCAGAAGAAAGTACATTAGTCAAAAAAACTGGTGAAATCTGAATAGAGTCCATAGCTCAGTTAACAGTATTATACTAGCATTAATTTCCCGGTTTAAATAACTGTACTTTTGTTACATAAATTGTACCATTAGGGGAAAGTGGGTGAGAAGAATACACAGGAATTCCCTGTATTACTTTGTCATTTTTCTGAAGTCTAAAATTATTTCAAATGAAAATGTTAAAAAATATGTGAGTGGTGACAGTATTTAGCCAATGACCTAGAGAAACTTTTGCACGTATACACAAAGACGCATTCATTCATTTGTTCCATTTTTGTTGAGTATTTTCTGTGTATTAGAGATATCTCTAGGTTCTAAAGATACATCAAAGATCAAAACAAAATCTCTCATTCATGGGACTTACATTCTCCTGGGAGGAAGATAAAAAATAAACAAATAAACAGCAACAATATAAATGTCAGGTGGTCATAGGAGCTAGGAATAGAAAAATAGTGGGGTATCAGAATAAAGAAAGCTACTGGGAGATGTATAATTCTATAAAGGATGGTCAGGGAAGGTTGCTTCAATATCTATATGAAATACCTCAGCAGCACTGTTTGTAAATGGCAATGATAATTATCCACCAAAATGACAATGGATTAATATATTTGGGTACATTCATGCAATGAAATACTGTACAAAAATGAAAATTAATAATACAAAGGAACTATATAATCATAGTTCCTTTTCACAACCATAATATTAGAGGAGGAAGAGCACATAAAATTTATATAAAATGATGCTCTCACTTATAAAACATTTAAAACATGCAAAATAATATTATGAATGATTTTAAAAATGTATTTTTAAAACTGCATGGAAATTGTAATAGATATGTTTGATGTCGTGGGGGGGCGGTGCGTTGAGGGAAGGGATTGTCACAAAAGTATAACTATTGTATTGTTTTGTACACCTGAAACTAAAAACAAACAAACAACAAAAAAAAAACTGCATGGAAATAAAAAATTCCAAATTCAGCATAGTTGTTATGTCTAGTACTGAAGAAAAGCAGAATTATAGGACTCCATCAAAGACAGCACAGAGGGTGCAAATGTACTGATATGTTTAACTGAATTTTAAGCCAGAGGTTGGGTATCCAGATAAATTTATCTTAGTCTTATTATTTTGTCCATCTAAACTACTTTTAATACAAAATATCATAAGGTGTGTGCAGTAGTTTAACTTAATAAATAATAAGACATTTTAAATTTGTAAATTCAGACAGTTTCTAAAGGTATTTGACAAAAATGCATCACCCTGAATGTGCGTTATGCATAATGATATTATGCATAAATATGTATTTTATTATACATATATAAGTGTATATATATATATATATGCATATATGAGTATATTTACATGAGCTATTGACTCAGCATAGGCAGAGAAAGCACTGTCAGTTATTTTTCTAGAAACAGTAAAGGGAGGATTTGTGTTAGTTGCCCCCACACTTTCACCACCGCCCTTCCACCACTGCCCAGTGATAAATGTCTTGCATCTTCAGGACAGAGCTGTCTGGGATACAGTTGCATCCTGTGGACTGAATTTGGCTATTTGGCTTACTAGGGGCTTGACTTCATCTTCACCAATTTATAATTTTTCAATCTTTTTTCTTTAAAGTGGTGTAGATGTTACTGATTGAGGATATTAATATTATCATCTCTAGACACCTCATATTATAGGAAAATAAGCTGAGATTAAGGGATACCTCAGGGATACACGGGTGACGCAGTTAAGCAATCTCCCTGATTTGTTCCATCTATATTTGTAGCTTTACTAAATCCACATTCATGTACAGATGCAATAGATGGAAATTCTCCATGGAGAGAAAAGCATTCGCATTCTTCTGTACTCAGTTGAAAATGGGCATCATTTAAAGAATGCATTCCCACAAAAACAAACCAACAATGCAAACGACAATAAGCTAATCAACTACTTCACAGGAAACTGAGATGACATTCTTTATAAGAAGATCTTCTCTTTATTGTAATTCATATTTTGGAATGAGTAATATTAAGGAACAAAGAATAACTTAGAAGGGGTGGACCAGAGCATTTTCACACTTTAGGGATTATAGATCTTCCCTCAAATCTTAATATTTAATTGAGAAGATATTTCACCATAAAATATCAGCCTTCTTAGATTATTACCTCATGCAATCTACCTTTTTGTAGATTGTCAGTCTGACCACAAAGTCCTATCCATCAGAAGATAACTCAGCTGGACACATATGTAATGAGCATTTATTATGTACTTGACACTAAGGATCTAACAGTGAATGAGGATAAACTTTAGGAAAACAACATGGCACCCTCCCTAGTTTTAGAATAACACAAATTTTCCTCAGTATCTGTATATCAATATGCAGAAAATGAAAGATATGATGACAGTGATCTTTCTTGATATGGAGGTTTGTATTTAAAATTTTTCTGAAATGCAAATATATTCTCTCATACCTTGATAATTTTGTTGTTATTAAAATTGTACTTTATACTTAAATCAGTTAAAAACTATTTCCAGGGGTATTAATAATATTTAATATTTGGCATTTTATATCAAAAATTAACACAATTTCAGATCTACCAATCTTTCTTCTTCTGTTATTATCACATATACTATAAAACATCATCACACTATGTTAATACATTTTTCTTTTAAAACCAACAATTTTTCCTCAGTCAAAATAAAATAACATGTTATATACATGTGTATATATTCAATGTTTACCTTAAGAAGTAATGTTGGTCTGCCAGAAATGACATTCTGAGAATTATCTTAACATGTTTACTATTTAATTCTAGAACTAAAAATCCCATCTTGTGCGGGAAGCCCTGCCCTGTTCCTAAAAATATTTATCATCATCCTGACTACAAACACTAGGACGGAAGGATATTCTCGTTCTGTGACTAGCTGGAACATCATCGAGTCTCCTGTCTTCTCTTTTAGTCCATAACCTTTCTCCCTTATTGTCGCTTTGCTACAGGGAATTATAGCAAGAAAAAAAATAAAGGAAAAGACACCAGCTTACTTGTCATTAAATAGTTCAAAAGGCAGCCTGGCCATGCTTTGAGTCTACACTACACTGGGTATGCACTTGATTGCAATTGGACTGCAAGGAGCTAATGTTCCTTACTGTAGTCGCTGTTTTCGTCCTTGGTCCCGTCAATGGTACCATCTGGGTGCATCTGCAGGAAATATCCCTGCTGGCTGAATAACCTTGTCACAATTCCTTTCAGCTGGGGTTCTGCAAAACAAAGTGAAATGATTATTCAAATTTCTATTTTGTTTATAAAAACGCACACTTGCAAACTGTCAGAAGTAAGTACATAAATGCCAATGGCTTAAATATTGAAGTATTTGAAAAGGGGGCATTTCACTAACATAGCTTCACTTTATTTATTTTTTTTCCTTCTACAGGCAGAGCCGTAATACTATGTAGCAATAAACCAAATGTAAATAAATAGAAACTAATTATGATTGGAGAAATACAGAGGCATACTAAAAAGTGAACTGTTTTTCTCTCTCATGCATCTAGTGTCTGACTGCAAGTTTATGGTCCCATTCCAGAATCGCTGTTTAGACTGAACTGCCACTGTAATTCTTCAGCTCCCAGCAGTCATAAGCAGCCCCTGAAAGACTTCTATTTTTGCTGAATGTCAACTATCCATCGGAAACTCATGGGTCTTGAGATTCTGGTCGAGTTCAGCCAGAAAGAGTGGCTTGGATGAGGACCACAGGAAAAAGCAAAACCCATGGCCATGAAACATCACTGGAAAGTGTGTGGAAACAGATTTCATCTTTAGTAAATACCTCAGCAGAGAAGAACCCCACTACTACCAAGTCATTTTTTCCAGTACAAAAATAAACCATTTATGCCTATTTCTCTAATCATTTCCACCTAGAAGTGGTCCTCAGCTTTTAAAAACTTCCTGCCCACTAATACCGCAAAACTGAGCTTGGTATACCACATATGGATTTTTGTATAGCAGCAAAGATAAATATATAAAGCTTTCTCATCGTGGTGCTGGCTGTCAGCAACGATCCATTTTCTACAGCATCACCACCATCTTTGTCTCTACTTCAGTGTTCAGCAAAAATTAGAGTATTCTAGTGCATTTGGAGCCCTAATTATTTCATAAAAATGTGGAGAAAAAGAAAAATTCTGCTTCTCGTGATGCAAATTGAGGCAAAGATGGAAATCATAGGACTGCTGAAGTGGCAACATGTTATCCTCAAAAGGACAATCACTGAATTTCAACTGACAGTCAATTCCACTCCTTCACCCATTTATTCAACCAATATTCACTCTGAATTTCTTTTTTCTTTTTGGTTAGGCAATATGCTAGGTACTGCATTAAGCTGAATACATTTATTGATGTTTAGGTTTAAATAAAAACTCCAGTTAAGGATTCAATGCATTTAACTCTTTGGGACTAGTCCTGCTCCCTATAACATATGTCTAAGGTTAGCCTTTCGCACATATGACTTAATCACACACATTCAGGAATATGATGCAATGCCTATATAAACATGTCTTCTTCCGAGCAATCCTAAGAAGCAGAAATGATGCCAAGAACATTGGGAATGAGGAAGGAGGGTTATGAACTGAACTGAAAATTAGGCAATCTGATTAACTGTACGTTATCTTAATGTGCTAAATTAAATTTATTTCCTTTTTGGGCCTTAATTTCCATATCAATAGTATCAATAGAAGTTAAACTAGTGAACTTTAGGAGCCCCCATGAATCTCTATTGACTCTGAGCATGTTACAATCCTTTGCCCTGAGTGGTGGCCGACATCGAGAAATGGATTCATCTTCAATGTGTTGCCTCCATTGGCCCACCCAATCTGACATGCTAGGTAGGGATTTGTTGGACAAGCACAAAGCTAGCTAACCTCACTGCAAAAAAAAGATATATTGTGTCCTTATTGCCATCTATCAAACCTTACCAACTTTTTCAGGCTCAGCTCAAGATCACCTCCTCCATGAAAGTTTGGCAACCATTAAGTGTGGATCATTTTTTATAATCGGGGAAAATAAAACAAAAACATATGTGCCTCTACCAGGAGGCTAACTGATTGACAGGCAGGTCCTGTTGTGGTACACTCAGCTCTCGATGTGCAGTCAGAAGACCCAGCTTTGAACCCCAAGTGCCACGTGGTCCTGAGCAAGTCATTTAACATCTGAGGCTCAGTTTTCATATCCGTACAATGAAACAAAATAATTCCTGCACTAATGATAATCATTGAGAATTTCAAATGAATAAATATATGTGATAGAGTGAATTGAAAAACCTCATAAGAATATAAATCCTAATTAAGGTCTCTTTTTCAACCATGAAAATCAAGGAAACAGTGTGAGGTCAAAGGAACACTCTGTAAACAGATTCTATGTCTCCTGATTTCTGTTTTAATAAAATGTTAATTGAGGTTGTAAAGTCATTAAAGCAAATAGCAGGCTAAGAGTAGGGGCTACAAAAGGATAGAAGGAAAGGGACAATTGCCTTATAAGTCATATTTTCTACCTAATCAGCTTGATAAGTTCCCTTTAAGAAGTCATGTTTTGGTTGGTAATGAGATGCATGGCAGCTGAGTCATTAAAGCCTGCAAACGATTGTTTGTTTTTTCATGCTTCTCTTTTGTAGCTGTAATCAAACACCTCTTTTGCTATGGTGAAGCTATTCCCCACCCCCACCCCCCTTTGGGGCCCTGGAAATTAAGGTTGGCAACTCATGTTCAAGATAATGAGCATCAGGCTTTTTTACCATCCCCCGCTGCCCAAGAGCAGTGCCAAAACAAGCTTGGAGTCTGAGTTTTAATTATGTGAGGATCTATGAAAGCGAATGTCATGTACTATAGATGTTTCAAAGGTGACCTGACCATCTATTGAGCCTAGCATGTGTCATAGAATGAGTGTCACCTGCTTGACAGACCTGTACCCTTGTTATCATCAATCAAACCCTACCAACTTTTCTAGACTCAGTTCAACATCACCTTTTCTATGAAAGCTTGGTGATCATAAGTGAGGATCACTTTTATAACTGGGGGAAGGTATATTTTTTTGTATTTTAAAGACAGGGGGACACAAAATGAGACCACTTTTCAGCACATCTAGTATCCTGGGTGCATTCAGCTAAACATGCTTTTTATTTGTCACACTATGCCTAAGAATCTCATAAATGAATTAAACCTGGTGGTCCTCAGGTGGCACCCAGAGTATTGCATGAAACATATAATGCTAGTGTGGGATAGCTGTTAAATGATGGACAGAAACAGAAAGGCATGATGGCACTAAGGAGCAAGGGATGAATTCTGTCTGGAGATTGGATGAAGTCACCTCATCAGTCACTTGAAGACTGAGAATTTTCATAGGCAAAAACCAAACAAACAAAAAAACAGCAACCAAACAGAAGAAGGGCATTCCAGACATAAAAACAATGGAAGGAGGCAAAACACAGCATGGTAGACTCTCAGAATGATGCAGGGTCTGGAATAGGCATAATATGTGGCAGAGGTTCTCAAATGCTGGCATGCAGATAAGTGCCTGTTCTCAACAAATGTTTACAGGTCAATAGTGAAATAAGAAAAATAGGGTCAATGGAATACGTTTTTATTAAGCTAATTTTTTTTCAATTTATATGATCTCTTTGATTTTAAGATCATGTTTTTCCCTCATAGATACAGACAATAGTTTAGTGGTTACCAGAGGGTTAAGGGAGAAGGGGGTGGTACATAAGGGTAAAGGGGTCAAATATATGGTGATGGAAGGAGAACTGACTCTGGGTGGTGAATACACAATATGATATATAGATGATATATTACAGAACTGTACACCTGAAATCTACATAACTTTGCTAACAATTGTCACCCCCGCAAACCTTAATAAGAAATTTTAAAATAATATGTTTTTCCATTATTTATTTTTTCTTTTTTTTATGACCTGATGGTTATATTATTGGGGGGGGGGTAGGGTATCGATTTGTTATCTTTTATACTCTGAAGCAGTGTAGCAAATACTGCTAGCTTTTCTCCCAAATTAATTTCCTCTTTTTCCTCGGCCCCCAGCTAGACCATATGTCCTAGCCTCCCTTGCAGTTGGGTTTGGCAGATGAATGAGTGTCATATGGAATGTAAGTGAAAGTTAAGTGTGCCATTTTCAGGCCCGGCTTTGAAAAGCAAATATTCTCCTCCAAATTCTCTTTTCTTGAACACTGGCTGGATTAAGATGACAAAGCCCCAGGGGATGTCAACAAAAAGCAAGGATTCTGGGCCCCTGAAAAACTAGTGGAGAAAAGACAACAGGTATCAGAAATCCCCACCTCAGGCGGGTGAATAAGAAGTAAACTCCCATTGGTTGTATGGAGTGACTTCCTTTCTAAGAATACAACATGAAAGGGGGGGAGAGAGTAATTTTACAGTGGAGAAACCTGGTAATTCAAACCCTCCCTCAGTCAGGTGATCATGGTTCACACTTGATGAGAATGGTACTTCGCCTCTGTGCTATTCCTCCCCAAAACACATACCTTAGTCTAACAGCAAATTCCAGCTGGACCACATTCTACAGAATAGCTGACCTACACCCCTCAAAACTGTCAAAGTGATCAAAAATAAGGAACGTCTGAGAAACTGTCACAGCCAAGAGGAGACTAAGGAGAGAAGACAACCAAATGTAATGCGGTATTCTGGATGGAATCCTGGGACTGAAAAAAAAAAAAAAGGTAAAAAAACTAAGAAAATGTGAATGAAGTATGGATTTTATTTAATCATAATGTATTTATACAGATTCATTAATTTTCACAAATATACCAAATCAACATAAGATGTTAATATGGAAAATAAACATGGGGTAAATTCCAATCTAAAACAAAAAATAAACCAGTGATCCAAACTTTGTGATGAAAGCCATACCCAGAGTAGGGTATAGGGGAATTCCATATACTATCTTATCTTTTCTGTAAATACAAAACCATTTTTAAATTACAAAGTTTACTAAATATAGTCATTTCAGTCACAAAAGCTAGTAAGAAATTTTAACCTCCAAGAGGATGGGTGAGAAAGAAGGTAAAGGAACTCTCACAGTCAGCACTATTCCCATTCAGGACTGCAGAGCAATTTCAACATAATGTTTGAATTCAAAGCCACTTAAAAAAGCCGAGACTTCAAGCAGCTATCCAGCTAGCTATTCCTGCTGGCTTACGGTGTAGCGCTATGGAGCAGTGACCAGCGTATAAATCCAGGGCAGA